TATGGATTTGCTCGACAATTGCTAACTACGTTCATCTCTTCAATGTGTGCAACGAGAACTGGTCCCCATGGATCAAAATTAGCGTCAAAAAGATGCTTTTGATTGGAATCAAAGTTGCGAAACGGAAGTTTTCAGTATGTGTAATCTCGGTAACACTCACAGTGAAACAAAGAAGAAGACCAAATTGTTCTGAATCCAATCCTTGAATGATGGAATGATGAAAGGCATAGCACACATGATTGTGACAATGGTAAACTGAATTTTTTCATTATATAAACCTAAGAAAAGCAAAACATTGAGAGAGGTTATAAAGTCTTACCATTATCGTTACCAAGGTAAAAACTTTGGAGACAAAACGAGATCGTATGGTCTGATTACTGAAAATAGGATATATTAGGAACGCATCGAAATCAGATTAGAGTGAATTCAGAATTAAAATAATTAAGTTAAGGAAGCGAATGAGCACGTTAATAGGCTCATTAGTATATGCTTTGAGATCTTTAGAGATTTGGAATCAGAAGCCAAGAAAACATTGCAGCCAACTATAACCTAAAAGTGTCTATAAAAAGTAGAATATTTAAGACCTAGACTCAAAAATTATTTCTACTTGAGTTGACTTTGACCAGGTTTGAACTTAAACATAAATGTGGAACACATTTCCTATAGAATATAGTTTTGTTACCTGAACTGAAGATTAGCCTTTGGTCCCGCTTGCTCGACATCTGGAGGAGCACTTGGTGTAGCCTGCATAACTGAAAAATAAGAGTTATTAATTGAAATTTTGTGCGGCTTGATCGAACTGCGAAGTGGACGCAGCTGAAAGTTTATGGCTCATAAACGGAGATATAATGAGGAAGTACTTGGCCTGTTGAAGCCCTGTAGACGGCATCGTCTAAGCTACCACTTATATAGCTTGGATGGAAGAAAGCATATCGATAAGAGCGACTACTCCTTGGAAAATCGTCATAAGAGAATGAAGAAGTGATAAGGAGCAACTTGTGGAAAAATGAGTCATCTTGAAATGCATACATCTCCTTATGAGTCAAAAATTTGTGCCGGGTGGCACACATTAATTGAACTTTATCTAGACACAGATTGCAGGTACATAAAGAGACTAAGGGAAGGACAACGAAATTGGCCGCATTTAATCAGAAACACACTTGGTAACCTATCGGCACCTATATTACTGCAACAGAAGCTCACCTCTCTTCTATACTGGTATTTATTTATACTTTCCTTACTGACTTATTATTTCGAAAACTTCTCATTTCGATAAAGCTACAGCCTCTTTTTGGCATTGATAAATTGAAATGATTTCTTTGATGTTCATTTTAAATCTGGAATGTTGGCATTTTCTAAGTTTATTTCTCCACAGTTGGAGAAATTTAAACATTCCATAAGTCAAACGATTGCCGAATATCAGTTTGAGGCTGGTTATGCAGAATAGTGTATCAAGAGATTCAAGGAAGATTTTTTAATTTTATAAGTGTCCAAATTACAAATATAGATAAAA